AGCTATGAAAGGGGTAGGGAAAGAGTCCTAAATACCAGCTCATGCTTGTAACCAAGGGAGAGACAGACAAGCCCTAAACCATCACCTGTATTCCCTTGCTTTTGTGATTGTTTTTCCTTTTGTTTTCTTTTCTTTCTTTCTTTCTTTTTTTTTTTTAAGCATATAAGATGTATTGCTACACTATAATGTATCATTTTATCTGTAAAACATAGCAGAGAAATACAGGAATCACGGCCAGCACTTGATGATGCCTAGGAAATGGGAGCCTTCAGCCTTCCTCTCTGGATGTGGTGCCTGGAACCTACTGAGGAAGGGGTTCTTTCTCTGTGCGGTAATTATTTGCATTCTACTAGAGAAATACCTTCAAATGGTGAGTATGAAAAGAACGACGAGCGTATGTGTTAGACAGCCAATAATTAGAATAGGTAGAGTTTTCTTATTTCTGCATCCTTCCCAGGATCCATTCTTTTGTGGGACCTGTTCTGGCACTCTAAGCAATTCTAGTGAGCTCTCAATCGCAGGACTCCCGAGGCAGGCTAAGCCAAAGTGATCACGGTCTCCTAGGAATTTGAATGTTCACAGAGGCACACAGGACTGGAAGACAGAAATGAGTCATCTAATTGGCAGCTCCTAAAGTACCGTCACATGAGTTCCCACTGTACAGGTCACCTAAACGTTTACATCTTGGTTGTTCAGCTAGCCATTCAGTAGCTGTTCCTTCCTTTCTTCCTCTCTTTTTACTTTTCCGTTTTCTTTCCTTTAGCAAGAGTTCATTAATGTTGCTTATAGGCAAAGAATACTGTATTATCAGGCATAATATTCAAGGTTTAAGTATGTATATAGATCACTCAAGCTGCAAAGATAGAAGCTTGGTGAACAGAAAAAGTCTACCGTTTCCCAGCATAGAATTAATAGTAAGAGAATATGGCATAGGGTTTGATGTTATATTGCATACACTAGATATTGTTTCCAACTCTTCCAGCACAAACTCCTACCGTAACCTAACCTTGATAAAAATCTCTGCATCTGTGCAAAATTTTGGACTTTTAAGTAAAGATAATTTAAAAAAAGACAAGGATTCACAAATAATAAAAGGAGTAGTTAGAGAAGGAAAGAAGAGGGTACAAAAGAAAAGGAAAATGTGAGCCACTAGTGACTAGAGTAGCCTGTACCCACCCAGGGTGCCAGTCTAGATAAGGCGAAATTAGCACAGCCAAAAGGACATCCTCTTTTTCCTATTTCCCCTCACCACATGCCTTACATGGGAAACGATTAAAATATGTAGACAGTATCTCTTTTATTTTTATTATTTTTGGAGACAGGATCTCACTCTGTCACCCGGGCTGGAGTGTAGTGGTATCGTCATGCTCACTGAAGCCTCAACCTCCTGGGCTCAAGTGATCCTCCCACCTTAGACTCCTGAGTAGCTGGGCCTACAAGTGTGTACCAACACACTGGGCTAAATATTATTTTTTAATTCTTTTGTAGAGACAGGGTCTCATTATGTTGCCCAGGCTGGTCTTGAACTCCTGGCTTCACTCAATCCTCCTTCCTCAGCCCCCCAAAGTGCTGGGGCTACAGGTGTGAGCTGCCATGCCCAGGTAACAGTACATATGCTAAATACAGAGATTCTCATCTCTCTCTCTCCCTCTCGTATATGCATAATATGCATTCTGGAAACTTAATCTCTGGACAATTTCTTTTTTTTTAATTTTTAAAACAAACAAGTAGTACTACATTTTTTCTAATTATTCTTCCTAAAATCAGACCATGATTTGTAAATGTTTTTCTTTAAATAAGAACTATAAACCAGCCATGGTAGGCATGCCGATAGTCCCAGACACTCAGGAGGCTGAGAGGAGAGGCTTGCTTGGGGCCAGTTCACAGCTGTAGTACACTTAATAGTGCCTGTGAATCGCCACTGCACTCCAGCCTGGGCAAGACAGCAAGGCACCGTCTCTAAATTTATGCTTTTTTAATCACAAAAATATTTTTTTGGCTGGGCACCATGGCTCACGCCTGTAATTCCAGCGCTTTGGGAATCCGAGGTGGGCAGATCACAAGGTCAAGAGATCGAGACCATCCTGGCCACCACGATGAAACCCTGTCTCTACTAAAAATACAAAAATTAGCCGGGCATGGTGGTGCATGCCTGTAGTCTCAGCTACTCGAAAGGCTGAGGCAGGAGAATTACCTGAACCTGGGAGGCAGAGGTTGCAGTGAGCCAACATCGCACCACTGCACTCCAGCCTGGCGACAGAGTAAGACTCCATCTCAAAAAAAATGTATATATATATTTTAATCGTGCATAGCTTTTTATGGACTAAACAATGAATTATAGGCTGGATGTGGGGGCTCACACCTGTAATCCCTGCACTTTGGGAGGTCGAGGCAGGCAGATCACTGGAGGTCAGGAGTTCAAGATGAGTCTGGCCAACATGGTGAAGTCCTGTCTCTACTAAAAATACAAAAAATTAGCCAGGCATGGTGGAGCGTGCCTGTAATACTAGCTACTTGGGAGGCTGAGGTGGGAGGGTCACTTGAAGCCAGAAGGTGGAGGTTGCAGTGAGCTCAGATCATGGCACTGCAGTCCTGCACTCCAGCCTGGGCATCAGAGCGAGACTCCATCTCAAAATGAAAGAAAGAAACAAAGAAAAGAAAAGAAAAAAGAAGAGAAAATAAAGAAAGCAAGAAAGAGAGAGAGAGAGAGAAAGAGAGAAAGAAAGAAAGAAAAAAGAAGAGAAAATAAAGAAAGCAAGAAAGAGAGAGAGAGAAAGAGAGAAAGAAAGAAAGAGAGAAAAATATAGGACTACACAATGAATTATAAATAAAATATTTACAACTCTAATTATATCTCAAATTTAAAATCATATGGAGCCTGGGCACGATGGCTCATATTTGTAATCACAGCACTTTGGGCAAAGTAGTCAGGCCGCTTGAACACAGGAGTTCAAGACCAGCCTAGGCTATATGGCAAAACACCACCTCTACCAAACACACACACACACACACACACACACACACACACACACACACACACACACACTAGTCAGGCATGGTGGTGGATGCCTGTTGCCCGAGCTACTCAGGAGGTGAAGCGGGGAGGCTCCCATGAGCCAGGGAGGGGGAGGGCAGTTAGCTGTGATTGTGCCTGAGTGACAGAGCCAGATCCTGTCTCAAAAAAGTAAAATAAAATAAAATAAAATCATATGGGTTAAAAGCATCACATCTGCATGTAAATTTCCTCATCAGTAAACCACAGATGACTTTTAATCCAGTTAAGCAATCAAAAACATGTAAGCCAAGGCCTTATGGGGCCAACTATTCTTTATGTGATATACTGGAAGAATTAATTTATAACAAGTGTAATTCTCCATATGTTTATATATAATAAACCTACACAAACCCATATAATTTTTACCTCTGCCTAGATTCAGTCAAAATGTAACAATCTCTACAAAAAGAAAAGGCCTAGCAAATTTCTATGATGAAAAGGAGTTAAGTGTAGCAAGCTACTTTGCCTTTCTCCTCTCCAAAACTCTAGCTATGAAGCAAAAATTTACCTGTCCTAATGAACTCTATAGGTAATAAGCGCAGGTAGTTACAAATTGGCTTAATGATATCGGTTTGAAAGGTGAAGTTTTCCAATTGTAGCTCTTTAATGTAGGATCAAAAACTGTTTCAGTCCCAAGTTCGATTTTTCAAGTACCACATTCATCTTGATAACTAATAGAAAACTAGTGGAATGTTAGTAAATTGATACATAATTCTGAAATTTCCATCTTTGAAAAGTTTACTTTGGAGCTCCAGGCTCCTAAAAGTTATTTGTAATTCAGAGTGCTCTCTCCGGTTCCAATCCCTGCAAATAAAACATAGCACAAGAAGACATTTTTGGTCAGGCACAGTGGCTCACGCCTGTAATCCCAACACTTTGGGAGGCTGAGGCGGGTGGATCACCTGAGGTACGGAGTTCGAGACCAGCCTGGCCAACATGGTGAAACCCCGTCTCTAGTAAAAATACAAGACAATTAGCCGGTGTCGTGGGGGCACCAGTAATCCCAGGTGCTCGGGAGGCTGAGGCATAATCACTTGAACCTAGGAAGGGGAGGCTGCAGTTAGCGGAGATCGCGTCACTGCACTCCAGCCTGGGCAGCAGAGCGAAACTCCGTCTCAAAAAAAAAAAAAAGGGGGGGGGGAGGGGGGGCATTTTTATTCAATAAACACACTTACGACTTTAGAAAACAAAGTAACTGACCACTAAAACGTACTAAATGCTTTGCTATTCCTTATATATTTTTCACAGAAAATTCAATATCCTGTCTTGAATCCAGGCATAAAGAACCTGAAATACAAAGATAAAGTATAAAGGATTCATGCCACCACCTCAGATCACTGGCACACAACGTTAAAAAAATCCTCAGTACAAAACGATCTGAGAAATAGAATACAGTCTTTAACGGTCCTTTTGATTTCAGGGTTAGAAAGGGACATATTTCTACTGCTATCCAAACCCTCAGTCATTTTAAAACACTTCGTTCATGTGAGACAAGCAAATCAAGCTCAAAGTCCAGAAATTGCAAAAGGGAGGTAGGTTTTAGGAGCCCGGCGCAGGTTGGGGGCAGGCGCTGGGACAAAGGGAAGACACGGTGCGCCACCTTTTCTTCCCTACTCTACCCCGGAGTCTGCTCATCCTTGTTCTCTGACTGGGAACTTCGGCTTTGAAGGGAGTGCAGGTGCTGTCATCCGTTGATTGATTCTCAGCGTCACCCAGGTTCTGGCATCCGTCCTGCAGGCAACGCGCTCTGGCGACTGTGCGGACCGACCCTGCCCCACCATTACTTTGCCTGCGCGATCCACGGCCGCTTCCCTCCGCTGCGCGTCTGTGGCACTTACTGGAAACTTTCGAGGAGGCTGCGGCTCTAAGGAAGAAAATCCTGCTAACCCGGCACGCAGTTCGGTCGACAACGCTGGGGGGAGAGGAGACGTTATTGATTACTCACAGTTTGCCGCTGAGACGGGAAGCGCTAGGAGGAGGCACGCTAGCAGCGCCCCGCAGCGCCCACCCAGGACCCTCATTTCGAAGCGCGCGGAGGCGCGGGCGGGGACGGCGGCGCGTCACGGCGGGGCCCGAGCGCGCGGCCCGCGGAGCTGCCGGCCCGTGCGCCTGGGTCTGAGCAGCGCTGCGCGGCGGCGCCTGCGAGCCAGCGAGCCCGGGCGGAACAGCCGGGGGCGGAGGGGACCGCCCGCTCCCAGCCCCCAGCCCGAGAGGGGAAGTGATAACGAGGACATTTCCAGGAAGCGTTTCGGAGCTGGGGGATGGGCCCCGGGAGAGCGCCGCGGGCCTGGTAAACACAGCCGAGACGTCTCCCAGCTCCCAAGTTCCTGCCCTTCCGTGCTTTCCTCCACAATGCGAGGTTTCCAAAGGGGAAGGGATGGGGAACGCAGGTCTCCGACTGGTCAAGAGAACTTCCAGGGTTCAAGAGGAACGATCTCCAGGCTCGAAAGGAGAAGTACTGAGAGACTGACTCGTCCGTGGAGATGTTAACCAATACCTGGAAGTCAATGACGACTTTGGGAAGAATACCGTGAAAGTAAAAGCAAATGGGGTCATTCTGATCATGCTTTTGTTTTTGTTTTTGTTTTGGTCTTGTATTTATGATGGAAAAAGAAAAAACTATAGCAAAACATGTTTTAGAAAAAATAGAGAAAGTATCAAATTCCAGTACCTTCAAAGAGCTCATTTTATTTTTTGCATATTCCCTCTAGTTTTTGTCCTTAGGCATACGTACACATTTGAAATGTGTTTAAGGCTATCTCTGAAGCTGAACTGCCTGAATTCAAATGGCAATATTATGCCACTTACTAGTTGAGTAACTAAGTAAATTGCTTAATCTCTCTAAAATCTCAGTTGTATCATCCCTAAAATGGGGATAATAGGTTTCATAGTGCTGATGTAAGGATTCCAGGAGATAACGTAAGAAGTAATTAGTGTGCGTTAGCTAGCAGCACTTGAAGCCATCTGCAGAGGGTTAACAAGAATTCTGGACAGAAGTACATTCATAATTAAGGATTAATCAAGTTGTACTTTTGCGTCCTCGTTTTTCCGATGGATAGGATTTCCGACATTAGAATCATAAAGCTTTAAGATAGGTAGGATTTCTGATATTACAATCATAAAGCTTTTATTTGTGTTTGAAGACTCTGACAGAAGAATCAGCACGATAATCCAGCTCCTTCATTCCCATCCCAAACCTCGCCCTGTACTCTTTAACCAAAGATCTTCACACTTCAGCTCACCCCAAAACTCCTAAAAATCCTAGCCCCAAACTCATTGGGGAGATGGATTTGAGGTTCTGTTTAGTGGCCCTCTAATTAAGCCTCTTTCTCTGCTGCAACCCCAATGTCTGTTCTTATTGACTGAAGTGTGCATGCATCAATGACTCTATTATAGTTACATACGCAATGCATATTTACTGTTATTCTAGTATTTCTGCCCAATGAAATAATTGATTTCCTGTGAGTTTAAGTGAAATTTGGTGGTGTGATTATATTTCAAAGATCTCTTCCAGTTCTAGATTTTTATGGTTCTGTGATCCAGCTGGATGGAAGTTGTTGAATATTAGAGTCCTTTTTCTTTTTGTTTGTTTGGGTTTTTGTTTTGTTTTGTTTTGTTTTGAGATGAAGTCTTTTTTTGAGATGAAGTCACCCAGGCTGGAGTACAATGGCACAGTCTCAGCTAACTGCAACCTCTGCCTCCCAGGTTCAAGTGATTCTCCTGCCTCAGCCTCCGGAGTAGCTGCGATTACAGGCACCCGCCACTACACCCGGCTAATTTTTGTATTTTTAATAGAGATGGGGTTTCACCATGTTGGCCAGGCTGGTCTCGAACTCCTGATCTTGTGATCCACCTGCCTCGATCTCCCAAAGTTGGGATTACAGGTGTGAGCCACTGCACCCAGCCTACTTTTTCTAATAAGAACATGGGCTGAGGAATTCACATTCACTCAGTAGGGGAAGAAAGATGCTTCCCACTACCCTTGCAGGTTCTGTGGCTGGTATAAGAATTAAATGGTCATAGAGAAAGGCAGAAAAGAATATTTAATTACACATGTATGCATGGGAATTTCACAAAAATATGAGACTCCAGGAGGTATCCAGATGATTAAGACATATATCATCCTGAGCTATGGAAAGGAATAGGGGTTTGAGCCTTCTTGGGGTAGACAAGGCAAATAAAGAGAAGGGAAGGAAAGGAAATGTATGGTTGGTAAAGGTTGCCTTGTAATGTGGGTCTCTCAGGTAATAAAAGGTGTCTCTAGGAGTAGCTGTCTTCTTGGCACAGATAGATACATTTACTAATGAAAATTTCTTTTGTAATTGTAGATTTTCTTTACAAGGGGAAATTTATTTTACAGGTGAAGGGGTGGTAAAAAGCTTTTTCTACTTCTGCTGATTCTAGATTGCCTTGAGCACAAAATAACCCATATATCTAAATGGCATATTTTTGGGTGGCATGTCCTGAACCTCTTGATCTCATTCAAGAAAGAATTATTGAGTGTATTTATGACATTTCCCTCTTTTAAATTCTCTCCTTTCTCGGTTTGTCTGACTTCAACAGGTTGGTCTATATACCATTTTTTTCTCAGTCTCAACCTACTTAAATATAAATATAATTTTTTTTTATGTTGAAAAGATATACATATATTTAGAATTAGCCAGCTGGACTCAGTTTAGATGATCCCAATTTTTTTGGCAACATCCAAAGCATCGTAATCAGGAGCCAGTCGAACATATGCCTTCTCTCCATCAGGCCGAATCAGGGTGTTGACCTTGGCCACATCAGTGTCATAGAGCTTCTTCACAGCCTGTTTGATCTGGTGCTTGTTGGCTTTAACATCCACAATGAACACAAGTGTGTTGTTGTCTTCTATCTTCTTCATGGCAGACTCAGTGGTCAGCAGAAACTTGATGATAGCATAGTGGTCCAGTTTGTTTCTCCTGGGGGCGCTCTTCCGAGGATATTTGGGCTGCCTCCGGAGTCGCAGTGTCTTGGGCAGCCGGAAGGTGGGTGACGTGCGGATCTTCTTTTTTTTGTGGCTGTGGACACCTTTCAACACTGCCTTCTTGGCCTTTAAAGCCTTCGCTTTGGCTTCAGCTTTAGGAGGGACAGGAGCTTCCTTCTTCACTTTCGGCGCCATCTTGTCAATATAATTTTAACATCTATAGAATTGTTTCAATTATGTTGAACAAAATCACCTTTAATTACCATATTTAATTAAATATGTAAATTTAAGCCAGAAGTCTTCCAGGTAAAAGCCCCATTTGGGAATCTCCTCATCTTGTGAGAAGGAAATAAGAGAAGAAAATTAATTTTGAGATCTCAAAAATTTCTAAGGAGGAAAAACTTCTAAAACATGAATCAACAACATTCATAACAAATCATACAAGCATACAAAAATATAAAGAATATGAAGAAAAGAAGGGAATATTAGAATAAGCTATCTTAAAAAAAACTTGCTCCTCTAAAGACTTCAGTTGAAAGTGAATATCTATCTATATATCTATTTTTTAATTAAATTTATTTTGAGAGAGTCTTATTCTCTCACTCAGGCTGTAGTGCAGTGGTGCGATCTCAGCTCACTGCAACCTCAGCATCCCAGGTTCAAGTGATTCTCCTGTCTCAGCCTCCTGAGTAGCTGGGATTACAGGTGTCTACCACCATGCCTGGCTAATTTTTTTTTGTATTTTTAGTAGAGACATGGTTTCACCACGTTGGCCAGGCTGGTTTTGAACTCCTGACCTCAACGGATCTGCCCACCTCGGCCTCCCAAAGTGCTGAGATTACAGGTGTGAGCCACAGCACCCAGCCTTATTTATTTATCTGAGGCAGGGTCTCACTGGGTTGCCCAGGCTGGAGTGCAGTGGTGCAATCATAACTCACTGCAGCCTCAAACTTCTGGACTCAAGCATCCTCCTCTCAGTCTCTCAAGTACCTAGGACTACAGTCACACACCTGTATGCCAGGCTAATTTTTACTTTGTTTTTATTTTTTTTTGGTAGAGATGGTCTGCAACTCCTGACCTCAAGTGATTCTCTTGTCTTGGCCTCCCAAAGCTTTGGGATGACAGGTGTGAGCCACTTCTCTTGGCCTGAATATCTTTTTAACACCACAAATTTGCATCACACTGTCAGTAATAATTGTCAGCACTGAAAATTTATGTGTCCTACGCCATAATGTCAAACTTTGTTTCTTTTCTTTTTTTTTAAAGACGGGGTTTCACCATGTTGGCCAGGCTGGTCTCGAACTCCTGACCTCAAGCAATCCACCCGCCTCGGCCTCCCAAAGTGCTGGGATTATAGGCGTGAGCCATCGCGCCCGGCCTCATAATGTCAAACTTTGTAAAACCATCTGGAATCTATTAATATGCAATTTGATAATACATCATTGGATAAAATTCTGGGTTTTTTTTTTTTTTTTGAGACGGAGTTTTACTCATGTTACCCAGACTGGAGTGCAATGGCGCGATCTCGGCTCACCGCAACCTCCGCCTCCTGGGTTCAGGCAATTCTCCTGCCTCAGCCTCCTGAGTAGCTGGGATTACAGGCACGCACCACCATGCCCAGCTAATTTTTTTTATATTTTTAGTAGAGACGGGGTTTCACCTTGTTGACCAGGATGGTCTTGATCTCTTGACCTCGTGATCCACCCGCCTTGGCCTCCCAAAGTGCTGGGATTACAGGCTTGAGCCACCGCGCCCGGCCTAAATTCTGGGTTTTTAATCTCAGAAATTCACTCTGTGATGGTGATAACTGGCTTTAGCTCAGTATTGATTGATACTTGGTAATCTCATTTAGCCAAACTTTGGTTTTAACACAGCTCTTAATATATAATAAAACCTGTTCAAAATTTAACTCTTAATCTAACCTCATTCCTAATCTTAATTTCATTCTTTTATCTAGTTTTACAATTCTTCATATCATTTTCTACTAACATAGCGTCTAATTTACTTATTATTTATGTTTTTTATCCACTCCTTCATCCGTCTTCACCAGTAGAATGTCAGATTCATGAGGGCAGGAATTTTTAAAGGTTTTGTTCACAACTATATTCTAAGTGCTTAGAACAGTTACTGGTCCGTAAACATTTCTTTCAATTTAATTCAACAATGTGTGCCTGGGAATATTTATGCCAAAATATTAATAATGATCCTGAAATGACAGTGTTAACTAGAATCTCAGCAGCACGACTGTTGTCATCATTCAGAACAAACCAGATTACACACTAAAAAGCCAGAACATTACAGTGTTTTAGATAACAAGTGTTTATCTCTTTCTCATTGGAAGTCCACTACAAGTCTGTGTGACTTTCCAGGTAACTGTCTTCCATGTGTTAACTCAGCGTTTCATGCTGCTTTGATTTTACAGTCCCTCAAAGTTGACATAGTCATCTACAATTACCACGGCAAGAGAAGAGAGAACATTGAGAATTGCGCCCCAGCTCTTTCATAGTTTTGCCAAGAAGTGACATGCCACTTACATTTCATTAGACAAAGCCAGGCACGTGGTATGCCTGCCTGACGTTGAGAGGGTGGGAATAACTTATTTCATGTGCCTGTAAGGAAAGAGAACTCAACCTGGTGAGCAGCACTTATGGCTGTCAAGCCACTTAAGATATTTAAAAACTTAAGATATTTTAATAAACATAAAAATCACGCCTGTAATCCAAGCACTTTGGAGGCCAAGGTGGGTCGATCACCTGAGGTTGGGAATTCAAGACTAGCCTGACCAACATGGTGAAACTCTGCCTTAAAAAAAAAAAAATTAAAAAAAAAAGATATTGAAAAACTAAGAGTCAGCTTTGCTAAGGCACTGCATGTTGGCATCAGGAATGCTCGGTAATGTTATCACTAGTAGAAATGGGGAAGGCATGAAGTAGAGCAGGTGCTTTAACAGCATTGTTTCATTATGCCATGGCTGAGAGAAAACAATCGATTACTGGCCCAGACCACTGTGTATATGGAGTTTGCATGTTCTCCCCATGTCTGCATGGGTTTTCTCCAGGTATTCCAGTTTCCTCTCACATCCCAAAGATATGCATGTTAGGTGAATTGATGTGTCTAAACTGTCCCAGTCTAAGTGAGTGTGGGTGTGTGTGAGAGCACACTGTGACAGATTGGTGTCCTGTTGAGAACTAGTCCTCACCTTTTACCCTGAGATGATGCCACCTGTGACCCTGAACTGGAATAAATGAATAAAGAATTGTCTTACTTGTCATTAATCTCTCTTAAATGTATATATAGCTCACATTTATTTCAATGTTTACTATTACTAGTATTTGCATCTTTATTTTGAAGTTTGGTGATGTTTTTGTGACCAAAAATGTGCCATAGGAACTTATCTCTGATTTATATCAATTTGTCTACAATAAAACTGGTTTTATTACATGTGATTTTGTTTAAAATTGTAGTTGCTAAGAACCTCTGGATGAAGATAAGTGAGGATTTACTGCAAAACTGGTGTTGAGTGTATATTTGTAAAAAACAGTACTGAGTATGGTTCCAACAATGCTCAAGAGACATACACATTGTGAGACTCTTCAGTCACAGGAGTAATCATCAAATTCTACAAGGGAACATCCTTAAAAAAAAGCAGAGGGATAAGGTCATGTCTTAGAGGTCACATATAGAAAGCTAGAGGAGGAGTGGTCAGGGAGATCAGAAGAGAACCAGGGGTTGTATTCGCTTCAGCAGCACATGTACTACAACTGGAATGATACAGAGAAGATTAGCATGGCCCCCGCACAAACATGCCATGCAAATTCATGAAGCGTTCCGTAATACATGAAGAAGAGGAGGAGGAGGAGAAGGAGGAGGTGGAGGAGGAGGAGGAGGAGGAGGAGGAGAAGAAGAGAACCAGGGTAGGGCAGTACAGTGCAAAACTGTGAAAGACCAAGGCAGGAAACAGTTTTAGAAAAGTTAACTATATTATATACATTAAATGACAGAAAAGAGAACTGATTTGGTAATTAGGAAGATATAAGTTATATCAAAAATATATTTTCAGTAGTTAGATGGGACAGAAGCCCAATCATAGTAAATGAATCAAAGAGTGAATACAAACAATAGAACTTTAGGGTTCAAAAGACACTAGTTTAAGAAAGTGAGTCGTGAAAGTAGAGTGAGCAGAAACAGTCCTAAATCGGCTTGGAGTTAAGGGGGAATTGCAGTCTTATCCTGCCCTTTTCTCTTATCTCCTACCACGGATATTTGGAGGTAGGAGGCACATACCGTGTTTATGGGACAGGTAACATCGACTTTAAAATTTGCTATCTATTATTTATCAGAAATTGCACTTAAGCTTCATTTCTCTCATTTCATCATCTTAGCAACCTGGCAAAGGAGGTATTTTAATTTCCATGTTATAGATAGGGTTTGATTTGTTTTTTTGATTTGATTTGTTGGAGCTTAGAAAAAGATATCCCAAAGTAAAGGCCTCAGAAGGAAAGTTTCTGTCTCTTTCTCCTGTCCCCTATCTCTTGTGCATGATTTTTTTCCCCTCTAGGAATGTTGTTGTCATGTCCTTTTCTCCAAAGAATATAAAAGAAATGCAAATATTACATATATTTGAAAAAAATAAACCATTACAAAACAGTCAATAGATAACAATCTTCATCTTGCAGAAACCAAATAGCCAGTAATTTCTGTACTAAGAATCCTGAAACAAACATACATCAAAATGGTTATCTTTGCGTGGTTCGGTAAGATCTCATTTTCGTCTTGTTTCTTTTTAGTATTTGTCACATTTTCTACAACAAACGCATTTTTCTTTTGTAATCACATTCCCCCCTACAACAAATATCATACAATTCCATTTCACATATGTAACAGTGATAAACGTTTTAGAAAGTAAGACTTCACCCTCATCTGAACTATTGAGAAAATTTAGCAAGCTAATTTCCCCCTTGTCTTTAACTTATAAGAATTGTATCAGTGTATCGTTTCTGTAGTTATGCTGCCGCAGTCTGCCAGAAACCTGGAGGGTTCCCATCCTAGCGCATAAAAAAATCAGGAAAAAACAAGAAAGAAAGAAAAATCCCATGAACAAGACCTAAGATCTCTGAATCTCAGCTGGGGACACTGGAGACAGAAAAGGAACAGCACCATGGATTGGCAACACGTTTTGTGTGCCTGTAAAGACAGGCCTTGCTCCAGAGTTGTCCCGGATCCCCCAGCTTATCGCCGGACGCTCCGGTTGCCTAGTGACGAGAATGCGCTTCCTCGAGCTCCGCCTCCTCCGTCTAGAGTACTCCCCTTTCGCCTTTCCTGGTCTCGCGCCCGGGGGGTAGCCTGGACTCTTCAGCCACTCAGAGGCCTCCAGCGCAGGCCCTTAACCGATGATTGGAGGAGCGCAGGACGGGCGTTGCCTGGGGAACGCCTTCCGCGCCTCGAAGTGACGTCAGCCCGTCGACGCGGGGCTTTTCTTTAGCCGAGTGCCGCTAACTCGGCTGCGGTGTTTCTGCGTCTTGGCCAGGCTGTCCCTTGGCTAAGAGGGCAGCCGTCTCGGACCGACGCGGTTGGCAGGGCGGAGTGCTGCGGCCGGCCGCCTTCACCTCCCTCCCGGCTTTTCCTCCCGGCTTATCCACCTGAGGGGCGCCTCGGAGTGGCGGAGGCCCCCGGAGGAGAGCTGGGTTGCGGGGTCCGCTCCGGGCTCGCATGGGAAGTGGCGGGAGGAGCGACCCGGGATGTTCAGTCTGATGGCCACTTGCTGCGGCTGGTTCAAGCGGTGGCGGGAGCCCGTCAGGTAGGATGCAGCGGGTGTCCGGGCCGTCTAAAGGCTTTGGGGATGGCCGCGCCCCTGGGGCGGGCCGCCTCTTCCCCGCGCCTGGACGAGTCCATCCCAGGCCGCCAGGGATGCTTTCATTCCCAGGGTGACCTGGCCCGGGAGGGAGACATTGGAGGATGTCGCCTGTTTGTCTGGTCGACTTCACCTTACGATTGACAATGTTTATCATCGTTATATTTTAAATAGGTTTGAATTTCTTAAAAAGTTTGTGTGTATGTGTGTGTGTGGAATTAAAACTGTCCGTTGTGTATTTTTTGTAGTGGAAATTCTTTTAAAAAGAGGGGACATGGAATATAGTTTTCATGACATCGACACATTCCATTCCAATTTACACCTCCACACACCCCCACACAGTTGTGTTTGAGGACGTGGGCTTGAAATCTGGCTCCACTACTTAATAATTACATGACTCAACAATTTTGGGCCCCACCTTTCTTAAATATTAAATAAGAGGGATAATACTCTGTGCCTTAGAAATATTGTATTCAATGAGAACAAGTGCTGGATAGTGTTTTTTTTAACTGTAATGTAGCTTCCAATTTTCATATGGTCTCTGGTAAAATCTTTTAATTGAAAGGGTCCACTTTTTTTTTTTTTTTTTTTTTTTTTTTTTTTTTTTTTTT